CAGGGTCCAGTCTGGGGTGGGCCGTGACCCCTGTGTGGAGCTGCTCTGGAGCTCTCCGGGTGCTGTGTGTCCATCCTGTCCACTCACAGCCACTGTGTGTCCATCCTGTCCATTCACAGGAGCTCTGTGTCCATCCCTGGTGTTCACAGGAGCTGTGTGTCCATCCTGGTCATTCACAGCCACTGTGTGTCCATTTTGGGCACTCACAGCCTCTCTGTGTCCCTCCTGACCGTTCACAGCCACTCTGTGTCCATTTTGGGCACTCACAGCCACTGTGTGTCCCTCCTGTCCATTCACAGCCTCTCTGTGTCCATTTTGGGCAGTCACAGCTGCTGTGTGTCCATCCTGTCCACTCACAGGTGCTGTATGTCCATCCCTGGCACTCACAGCCTCTCTGTGTCCATCCCTTGCACTCACGGGTGCTCTGTGTCCAACCTGTCCATTCACAGCCTCTCTGTGTCCCTCCTGACCGTTCACAGCCTCTCTGTGCAGCGGCTCAGCCCCCTCCAGGCTCCCAGGCACGGCCCCAGGCAGCAGAGTCACTCTTTCTGCTGCTGCCCCGGGCTGGGAGATGGATCCCGGGGCTGTTCCATTGCTGGGATCAGCTCCTGAGCTCTGGAGGTGTGAGCTCACCCCATCCATGCCCTCTGTGACTGGGCTGCTCCGGGCAGAGCTCAGGCCCCACATCCCTCTGGCAGCACCTTCGCTCCTGGGGGCACCTGGGGGATGGAGAAGGAACCTTTGGGTCAGATGGAACGAGCTTTCCCCAGCCCTGCTTTGGGGAGTGAAACGGGGCAGGGACTGCCAGAGGCACAGGGGACCTGTGGCACTGCCATCCCCATCCCAGCCCATCCCATCCCATCCCAATTCCCATCCCCATCCTATCCCTGTTCCTATTCCCATCCCATCCCATGGATCCCATCCCATTGATCCCATCCCATCCCATCCCATTGATCCCATCCCATCCCATCCCATCCCATCCCATCCCATCCCATCCCAGGGATTCCACCCCATCCCATCCCATCCCATCCCATCCCACAAAACACCCAAAGTGTGACCCAGCCAGGGGGGAACCCTCGATCTCCACCACAGAAGATGAGGGAGAGGGAAACCCTCAGGCTGCCCTTGCACAGCCAAACACCATAAAAATAACCCTGAATGAGCTCCCTCCCCTTCAGCTCTCCCCCTCCACCCATATCCAGCCCCATCAGAGCTCCTGATCCGTGCAGGGTGCCCAGGCAGTGTTGGTTTGACACAGAACACAGCAACTTCTCAAACCCAAAACAGCCACTTTGTCACTGGGAAAGGCAGACCCTTGCTTTAAAAAGTTATTCCTTTTTCTCATTTTGCTTTTTCTGTCTTCACATCACAATTCCCAATTATATTTCCCAAACCACAGGTTAAAATATTAATGGATTTTCCTCCCCAAAAACTTGAAGGGTTCTTCCCTTAGGCACGAATCTAAAAGCTGAAGTGTTATGCATTTAAACTGTGGCTTTTGACAAAGGYAAAGCAGAGGTTTAGCAGCTTCACAAAAAGAATAAAATCATTAATTAGGTGGAAAATTCTTTGCCATTTCCCGAGTTTGTCTTTCCCAAAGAGAACAGCCTCCTTCATCCCAGAGCTGCTCCTTGATCCCAAAATTGCTCCTTGATCCCAAAACTGCTTCTTCATCCCAAAACTGCTCCTTGATCTCAAAACTACTCCTTCACCCCAAAACTGCTCCTTGATCCCAAAACTGCTTCTTCATCCCAGATCTGCTCCTTCATCCCAGAGCTGCTCCTTCCTCCCAAAACTGCTTCTTGATCCCAAAACTGCTCCTTGATCTCAAAACTACTCCTTCATCCCAAAACTGCTCCTTGATCCCAAAACTGCTTCTTGATCCCAAAACTGCTCCTTGATCTCAAAACTGCTTCTTCATCCCAAAACTGCTCCTTCATCCCAGATCTGCTCCTTCATCCCTGAGCTGCTCCTTCACCCCAAAACTGCTCCTTGATCCCAAAACTGCTCCTTCATCTCAAAATTGCTCTTTGATCCCAAAGCTGTCCCTTCATCCCTGAGCTGCTCCTCAATCCCAGAGCTGCTCCTTCATCCCAAAACTGCCCCAGCCCTGGGACTGATGGCACAGCACGGAGAACAGAGCAAAAGAGGCAGAAAAGCATCAATTTCTGAGATCAGAACAAAACCCAGCACTCACCAGCCAAATCCAACAATGCAGCCGTGAGCAGGATGAGGATGGGGAATTTCTCCTGCATCTCGTGGAGCAGCTCCTGAGCCATCCCAGTGGRGAATTTCCCTGCTGGAAGCAGCTCCCTGAGGAGCCACTGCTGCCTGCCAGCAGAGGGTTGGGTTATTTTATAACAGCACTGACCAATAACCTGGTCCAGGAAAAAAAAA